CAGGGAAAGACCTTGAACAAATCCTTCAGCTCATCTGGAGAAAGGGCACAGTCTCGATCCTAATACACAAACAATTTGGGGCGAGAAAAAAAAAAGTATAAATTCATTCAATAGGGCATTCTTGGCTGTCAGTTCTTTTGTTCATGAACATTTTAGTTCTTCCTACATGATTATCTTTCATTTTTGCATCGTGTCTTGCTATTTTTTCTTAAGCCACCTTTTAAAAATGCCTGTGAATGGCCTCTGACATGTCCTTCTACAAGGAGGTGTCGTAAAACACACCCTTGCATTATGAAAATAAACAAAAGCCAGTTGGTTATTAATACAGCAGGTTCAATCATCTTAATTCATGCTCTGACTGAAGTTTGGGAAACTCAGTGGTACTTGGCTGAGCTCACATTGTCATGCTTATCAAAGACACTCTGGAGGAAGAGGTAGGCGTTGTGGTTCAGCTCTGTGGTGCAGTCTGGAGGTATTTTTAAGCTAGAAAAACAAATAGAGGTTAGAAATTCTTCTGAAGTAATTAGAAAACCACAATTTGAATTTGTGTGTTTCTTTGCAAAACAGGACAGCGCAACAGATCTACAAAACATGTGATCCAACCAGAGATGAGCTACTTGATGTGACATGATCCATGTAAAGTTGAAGTACTGGCTCTGGGGTGGGACTCACAGTGGAAACAGGTATTCTTGGGTCAGCTCCAGGTCATCATCATAACCAAACCTCCTGAGCACAGTCCATGTGGTCTCATGCCTTCCTCTCTGAATAAAAAGTGTATGAAGGAACAGGAAACCTAGAAAACAGAGAACACGTCTCAGACACAACAGAACCTGATAAATGAAGGAATATGAGAAATTCACATTTGTGCACTATACATATATTTTTTTTTTTTAAACAATCTGATGGCAATGGGAAGCCAAATATCACTGTATAACTGTGATATAAAAATCCAGTGACGTTTGTCTTTTTACTCAACTCACCCTTCAGTGTGAGGCCATTGTCTTTTACCCCATCCGACATATTTTTCCGCACAACATTCTTCACATCCTCCAGGGCTTGAGGTGCCAGGGGTATGTTAAAACAAGTTCTCTGCAAGGCAAAATCAACAATCATCAACAAAGTTGCTTGAGAAAATATGACACTCTCATTAAGGTGCAGTTTGTGTAAACAACCTCTCCTGTCATTTATTTAAGGAAGTATTAAAATGCCACAGCAATTTGAGCACAAATTGCTGAAGAAAACTGCTCTCACCTGGAAGAAATTAAGCTCATTATCGTTTAGAATGCCATCATTGTCAAGGTCTGATATTTTGAAAATGCGAGTAAGTGCTTTGATGCAAGAAGGCTTCATCTGGAGAATAAACAGAAACTCATTACTACAAAATACATCACTGATCATTTGAATATTTTGATGATGTTTTTTGTCATTTAAAGTGGTCGGATTAACAGGCGCAGGAGTCCAACTAAAGTAATATTTTACCTCTTTCTCTTCTGGAGAGTACAGTGGTCCTGTCGGATGTAGAACAGCCTTCTGGGCATAGTAAAACAACTCGGAGATATTTTTCAGGTTTTTGGCTGAACACTAAGAATGAATAAAGTCATTTCATCAGAAAAGAACATTATGATTTACTGTATGTCTTCCATATATTTAAAAATAAATAAAAATCCAGCAAAAGTACAGCATTCTTATTTCTATTTCTTTTCATCTGCTTTTAATATAATCAACACTTTTGATTTAAAAAGGCTTAATTTTAATGAATATGAATTATTTAGAAATAAATTGTAAACACTAAATAATAATTGTTTTGGTACTTTGTTGTTTTGGTGTCAGACAGGGGTCTTTAAAAGAGAAGGGATCACGTTCAATTTTGAATAAAACTGAATGGTATTTTAAGCCTGATCTACAAGAACATGCCTATAAAATATCACAATAAAATATTTACATACTTTATTAAGTTTACATTGTAAAGCCATTCAAATAATTGCTTTATAAATTATGTACAAAGGCAAATACTTGCATGAGAGCTCTGTCTTTCCTTTTAGACTGAAACCAATGTCTCTAGTTAAGCAACTACTTCAAGAGACCCGAGGTCTCCAAGAACCTGGCAGGACGCCACACACCTGCTGTCCTTATCTGTTCTTTCATTGATGAGGGGAATCCAATGACTCGTCACCTACAGGAAGCCAATATGATGAGAGACAGCAGAAGCACAAGTAAAATTACATTATACAAACAAACAACTATCAGAAGTTATATAGCAAGGCATGTATTTTGATCGGTAGCTACAGAAAAGCTGTTGCATTTTTGTGTTTGGCATACAATGAAACAAGACTTACCTTTTCAATTGATTTCTTGTTGTTTACTGAATATACAATGCATATAACATTGGCCTGTGCAGAGAGAGAAAACATTAGGGAGGTGAATAAAACCATAAAATCAAACTAAATTGTAAAAACAAAGAGACTAAATCCATCCCCACCTTTGATATTTCTTGGTAAAGCTGCTCATCTGACTGTTCTGCTTCTGTGGGATCAAAAATATGAAAGGAGAGATTAAAACACAAAAGGAATAACCACTTTAGGAAAGGGTTGCGGCACTGACACTAGAACAGCAATGCAGGCTATATGAGTCTCATCATACAGTACCTGAATAGTCCACTATATGAGTGGGCACTCTCTCAGGTGTGACATCAGCTGGAATAGTGATCTCTTCAGCTCTGAGAGGAACCTTTAAATGAGAAACACAATACTAATGCAATGCATGTGCCATTTGGACAAGTATTAAATTTACTTGAATTGCTCCTTTTGAACTTGAGTCATTTCAATGAATGACTGTACCTCATCAGGGAATTCCTCACTGACAAGTGACATGATCAGGGAAGTCTTCCCCACTCTGGCTGTGAAGAAAAAGAATTCTACAATGACCACTGTGTTCTAGATCTATTAATAGCACCAAATGATTAACAGGAACATGCCAGGCGAGATTTGAGTGCCTTTATAAAAGGGTGGTTCACACATTTAAGTTGTTTCACTTCAATATCAACCACGCAGCATTTAGGAATTCATATTAAAAGACTACTTTAAAAATATATATATAATGTCACACAACGTAAAAATGGACTAGCAAACAGTAAAAAGTTGATCTAAAAAAAAAAGAAAAAAGTAAACACTTTCAACTTTGTTGAAAGAGGAATAACTTAAGAGGAATATTAAATGAACAGGCTGAGGGGTCTTAAGTTGATGGTTTGGCATTGGTGAGCAGTACGTTTACATGGACACGTACTATTTTGGCTGACCTATCTAAACTTTGGCAGCTCTGTCAGTCTGGAGGCCTGTGTGAGTTGCTCCTGAAACTGTTATAAATAACCATGATAAACATGGGTGAAAGTAACTAACAACAATACATTAAGGATGACAATCCCATTTGTAATATCAGCCTGCTGATTGGGTCAATTATGTTCAAAAACTGCAGTTCTTTCGGTTGTTTTACAAACAATACACATGCATGTATATTAAGAATGTTTTTAATGACTGTAGTCAATTTGGGACAACATTTAAAACATACACAGAGCTTAATAGCTCTTATTTATAGGTCACTATCTTTCATTCTGTCACTTGGCAATTTAATATCTCATACGGCTGAATAAAAATGTTAAAATATAGAATGGAAGGTGTTCATTGTGCATATAATAGTGAACAGCAGCGCACATTGACTAATTAGAGATATGCAGATCAATTCAGCAACAGCAGCCAGTAATTGACACTCAAATAATTGAACTGAATTAATTAACTTACGTTCGCCGACAAGTAATATCCTCACGTCCTTTCTCATCGTTGCAACTCTAATGTGATCAAAATAAAAACCGAACAAGTACTTTGTCGTGGATCATTGATCCTGCTGTTATATGTAATAGCGAAGGCCTCTGTAGGGCAAAACGGACGGATCAACTTCCGTCAGTGTCAGCCCGAATAAAACCTCTGCTCACAGCGCTTTAACACACAGAGGTGATTCATGCCATCGAGACAAAGCGATTCCGCATATATGAAGGCACTGCTTGCTTTCTTCAGATTCACCTCATGACATTTCTGGGTTCACATTTCAAGCTCACGCCTGAAACGGCTGACCTACAGTAACCGTTAACTACGGAACGCAGCTACGGACAACCGCGAATTTCCTTGCGCTGGCATGCTCTGTTTACAGTTCGCAGTTATGTTATACCGCCTCCTGTAGGACTGGAGAGGAAAAGCGTGTCAATGATGCAATAAGAAATTAAACCATTTTATAACAGTGTGACATTTTTTTATTAAACTATATTTGACAAAACATTCAGGCAAACAAAAACCAAACACAAATATTAAACACACGAAGAAGCTTAAGTTGTTTTACAAATTAACTCCGTGATGTAATATGCTTGACAGAAACCGAAACGTGTCATCAATTAATAGGCCTAGGTTTATGTTTTATTTATTTTTTCCTTTTTATTCGAAATATTCTCAAACGTGTCAACTAAGCTATATCATGAAATATCTAGATTCTAAAATATGTATAAGTAAATGCATTTTACACCTTAATAGATTATGTCAGTTTACCTATAATGGGCAATGGGCAAAGTAGCATAATAGTAAAAACCCGTCTTTTTACTAAGTACCAGATATGGGTGTCATTCCATAAAATATTTTTAATATGACTGACTTTGTATTTAATGTGAATTTAATAAAAACATTGTACGTTTTCTAATTATAACACTTTCATTGCACAGAAAGAGAGCAAAGAACATTATCATTGACTTCAGTCTAACCAGAGTTCAAACAATTTCAAAAACTCCCATTATAATCACTGAAGCCGTTTACACTGTGAAATGAATATCTTACTTACATTCGTATGCACATCTGCACTTTATTGTATATGATGAGAGTTCGCGAGAGCGCAGAGAATTCTCGCGCACTGAACAAAACTCCAACGTTTCAGCGATGACTCATCTGAACACCTCTGATTGGCCATTGCATTCATAAGCTCAACAGAATCGAGTATGATTGGTTTTAATGCGCAGCGCTGTAAAAACGCATCTGTCTCGTCTGTCTCTGCGTACGCAGCAGCTGATGAGGTTTTACTTTTTTCCATTACTGTCACCCACAGGACAAACTGCGCATTGAACCCAAAATAGTTTGGTGTGATACGATTTCCAACCATATATTTGCGGTGTGACTCCATCCACTTTTTTGCTCCATTTGTAAAAGTTTGTCTCTGCTGAACAACATTAACAAATAAGCACCAAACTGTTTTGCTGGTCTTAGCTGATTTAAGATGGTTTCCCAGCCTTTAAGCTTCAAATTGTCCAATAATATAATAAATATAATATAATATAATAGTAATCTAGCTATATGAACATAATGCTAAAGTTATCAGTCAGTGAAGAAAATGACATGCACCACGCTAGCAACAAAAAGAACAACAGAAGATATGGGTAAATAAAAACCGGCCAAATGTCAGTTTATGAAACCCAGGTGTTCTATGATTAGCATTTTCATCACACACTTCATGTCACTTGCATGTCTCCATTTCTGTACAACCATAATTCCTTATTTTTAGTTTCTATTTGGTGTTTGAGCTCCTGCATGTGGATTCACAGTTACACGTGAGTCTAATTCGGTTCTCACTAAAATGAGATTCTCGTCTTGGCCAAGGCTTGTTTCAGGATCTCTACTTGTATTGAGAGCCCAGATCTTATCCATTTTCAGACGTAGTCATATTCTTTGTGCTCCTTTTAGAGAGCTCAACCAGTCAGTCTATCCTCATCTGACCTACTGCAGTCTTCTCAGATTGGTTTCACATCCCAAAATGCACCAAGTGAGAATTTTTTTTTTTAAACTGCTTGTTAGAAACAATGCCCCAAAAAAGTCACATTCTTCCACAGTTCCCTTTGAGTAAATCAGGTCTGGGACTCAAATGTTTTAACCCTAGATTTACCTAGAATGTCAGGGTTCATTTTAAATAGATTTAGTGACAGAGTCTGAGCTTATTGTCCCATCCAGTCATTGTCTTCACCTCCGTCTACGAATGTTGGCTTCGGCTGAAAAGAGACAGAGTGTTATTTTTTAATACCTCATTTTTGTTTTGTTATATTTAATTAGCACATCTGATTAAGAGTGTTATAATCTTACTGGTGTAATCTTGCGGCATCATGGGTTTGGAGATGACGGTTTTCAGGGCCTCCACCCACTCTCTCTGATCGCGCTCCTGCTCGCACATGAAGACGAACTGCCGATCTGGCGTCTCCACAATTACCCCACACTTCCATTTGTTGCCTCTCGTCCCTTTAGGGACACACTCTCTCACTGAATATCCATGATTCTCTGAGCCAATGAAAACTACCCCAAGCTCAATGGCATCCTTTAGGACAAAAAGAAAAGAAAATTCACACTACTCCCTCAACAATTTCATGTAGCACTTGTATGACACTTATGTGTTTAGAGCTTTGCTGAACTACAAAACACTGACACAGTAAGAAAGGGAAAAAGTCATTCATACCAGCTGTGTTTTAAAATAGAGTAGTTTCCTGTTCAGGGAATCCAAAATAAACCATCTTTTCTTGAATGGCTCTCGCTGCTGTTCAACATATAAAAACAAATAACACTGGCTGTTTGTGTATCGAATTACTTTTAAATTCATTTCAAAATTTCAGACTTTTAACATCCGTCACATAAGTGGTAGTACAATTATTTATATAAATTATAGTTACAATAGAATAGCATACAGATGTTGGAACTATATAAAAAATGGACACAGTGGTGTGACTTGAAATGGTGAGTGTGTAAAGAGGTGTGTAAGCTGGGGTGTTTTACAAGAATAGCCTGATTTATCCTTAAATGCTTGTGCAATTTAAGAGCAAATACAAACACCTTGCTACACTGGAAAATCTAGATTTTAAAATATGCAAAGAATCAACATAGAGAGAACCATCTAGGGGGAAAAACTCTTACCAGTGGGCCAGTCTTCTCCATGTAACCCTCTTTTAAATAGTTTCTGGTTATCCATGGTATTAGCTTAAGACAAAATTAGTAAAAGTTTATAATCAAGATAATAATGAATGCATTATTAATCCAAGAAAAAAAAATGTTGCTCACCAACTGTTTCACAGAGCTTTGGTTATTTTTAGATTAAATTTAAATCATATTTCTAGCAGTAAACGTTTGTTTACATATTTATAATTATTATTATTTTTATATTATTATTTCATATTTATTATTTTGTACCATTTTATTTGTAACACCAATAAACCACAAAGTGAAACTCTTTTGTGTGATGCTAACACTACAGAACTGAACAAGATGAAAATGTTGCACAAATGTCATTGACCCAAATTAAGTTTATATCTACTGTGATTTTCAGTGATGATTCACAGTACAATTTGTTTCCGAATTAGCCTAGAAAACTAGTGAATTACAAGACACATGGAGCATTCTGTCAGCTAACCAGCTAAAATAAACACATTTCTTGTTTAGGAATGCAGCAATTCACAAAACACCAAAACCACATTTCCGTGTCCTGTTAACATTGTGGTGTAGAGTGTTTGTTTGACGATCATTTATTTTGTGAAATGGAAGGGAAGACAGGCCTTAAGCTGTTAGGTTTTAGGAAGTAAAATCACTTGGAAAAGGAGAAACTTGCAGTACTTCCTTTTTATGTGGCAATGTTAACACGACTATGACAGGAGAAAACTCTACACATTTATAAGATATTCAAAAGCTATGTAAAGCAAACTGAAAGCACTGAGGTGACACACTGTACTCTATTAAGTCAAAAATCTAGTATACAAAATGTACTTACATCTCCATCGCTAGCTGTAGGAAAGGCTGTTTTCAGGTAGACATGGCGAATAGCTCTAATGGCATTAAACCAATTGACAATCTCCTAAAATGGAGAAAATACAGAGCAAATACTATTTAGTGCTCAAGCTGCCTTTGAAACTGGTTCAACTTGAGGAGGAAAAACAAAAAGGACAAAAAAAACAAACAAAAAAACTTGAAATCTGCACTACAGTTGCACAATTCTTGGGAATAGAGCAGAAAAAAATCCAGAGGTTTACCTGTCCATTTTTGTGGTAAACAAAAAGGTTTCTGGTGTGATGATCCACACAGTAGGTGATCTGAAGGCCATAAGCATGTCCTATCTTCTCCGGCTGGAAGGTTGCATTCAGGTCCTTCACAGAAATAGTAGCCTTTGGTCCCTTAGATTCCTGAAAAGCACAGATATTATTTAATGAATAGCTCCTTTGTGCACCTAATACATCATTAGATTCTATTATTTTTCAATCAAAGTTCAAATATTTAAAAATACAGCTAGAATTGTGTTGAATCGTGGTGATTAATGCATACTATTAGCTTTGATGGACTTAAATGTCATGTTGTTATTCGCAGTCTGCACTGCATTTTACAACAAATGCCTTCAGTAAAATATAATATTTCATTCTTGATGATGTGCAAACGTCATTGCTCAACAAAAAGTTCTCACATCCTCCTTGTAGTATTTGAGGGTAAAATCGTGCACTGAAAGAACAAACTTCCTCTCGAGAAACTGTCCGTTATCCTTTCCTTTCTTCCACAGCATGCCCTCAAAGACACCTAGAGCAAGGCAAACAATTTCGTTGAAAGATTAATGTTATCATTGTTAATATTAGCAGAGATGAAACAGAATCAAGTAAATAAACCTTTAAAGAACAAAGATTAAAAGAAAACATCTGGGAACTGAAATGGATTACCTGCTGTGTAAGGTCTTTCTCTATTTTTCTCTGTAAACTCCATTCGTTCGTATTTGGCTCGAATCCATTGTTCTCTGAGGACCCTATGCAGTGTACATGGAATACATTTTGTTGAGCTAAATGCTGGAAATAATTGATGTGTAAATTACATACAGTACATATTATAGTCTGAACGTACACTTACTATTTTATAATAACAAAGCAGATATTACTAGTTTAGCTGAATATGACCATATATTAAACAAATGCAAGTACAATGCAGCATATTAAGAATCGAAAGTACAGTTGACAGAATCAAAAGGCTGGACTTCATTACCAGAAACCCCTTTTAGATGAATCAGTAGTTCCTCTTACTGTGACCAACAATAGTACACTGCTTTTTTTTTTTTTGCCGGTAAGATGTTTGCTTGATCAGCTATTTTTTTTAAACTTCCCAAAACAGAGATCTGTTCCATTATGATGATAAATTAGTAAGTATGTGTTTCAGTTTTAAATTAATGTATGCTTTTGCTTGACTTTTCAGTCAACAGAAGAGGTTGGACTACTTACTCGCAATCGTCTGGTTGGGGCTGATAATAAAAGACTGGGACAAATTTCTCATAGAAGTTTTTGGCAGCACGGTTTCCATTGGCCTTCATGAACTTCTCAAATCCAAAAATGCATTGAAAGGAAACGCAACAGTGTTAGGGTTCACATTCATGATCTACTGTAACCACTAGATTCAAAAAATTAAAACAGTGACCATACAAAAACTAACATGTAATAACAAATATCTTATCAGTTGAATTTTGAGTTCACATACCTGCACAAGCTCATCATCCCAGAAGTCTAAGCGTATAGACTTGATACGACTTACAGAAGGAAGATTGCGATGAGTTCCAGAACAGTTTAGACACACAAAAATTCCCAGTGTGCATGAAGCCCAATCTGGATCTTCAAATAACAAGAGTCAAACAAACATATAAATAACCCAGTTCCCACAACCAGGGAAAAACAGGACATGTCAAGTGATTTTAGGAAAAATCATGAAAATAAGGACTTTTTTTTACAAACACATAATTTTTTTATTCTATCATCAGCTAGAAAATGAATCGTTTGAGATTCATCTCCATACAATGTTAGAAAAGTTAAATTTTATAGATCTCTACAGTTTTAACTCTATACCTATCTCTATAATCCCTATACAATTATAGAAAAGTCAGAAAAGCATGGAAATGGAAATTCATGGTTTAAAAAGCGTGTAAGCCCTGCTAAACCTTCTTTGACTAACATTTCAAAAGAAATTTAAGCTAAAATGCTACCGGTTTCATAACAAATGCGTTTTACTGAAGTCATAGTTACAGTGATCGAACCATGACAATGAGAAGCTGTTTACTCACGGCTACTACGAACACCTACAGAACTGTAACTTTAAACTATGATAAACAGGGTGTCGGGATATTAAGCCAGAGAATCCCAATTAAAGTACAGAAAGAACTGCTGGCTGCGAGTTCAGCAGTTTAAAGCGGCGGTGACTCTACTGTTCTTACCTGCAGCTCCACAGTCAGCACAGCAGCAATTCTGTGACAGCTTCGCCAACTCTAGAAGTGTCTTTTTGTTCTTTTCCCGATTTGCCATAGGCGAAATGCTTTTACAAACATAGGTAGTAGTTTCACCTCTTATCTGTTATAGGGCGCGGTTTCACGCTTTTACTTGACGCTCATTCAGTGACTCGACCGCGTAGCGCTCCGCTCGCGTCAGATTCGAAACTCAAATGCGCTTGTGCGCGGTGAAATGCTGCGGCTGGACTAACAAGCGAGGTCTTCCGCAAGCATTTAATTACTAAAAAAAACACTTCGTGTTCACTTCCTGGAGAAAACAAACCTAAAATGTAATCTATTAAATAATCACTTTAACATCAATTACTCCATAAGTAGGAGCAACACCAAACACCAACCCATTGTGGACAGTTCTTGTGATTAATACGATTAAAATATTAAATGTAATATTACACTTGTACCAAACAAACCATGAGATTATCAAGACTGACATCCCGTAGGTGCCAACAGCCACATATTTTTGCAAGCTGGTAAATATACTCCAGTCGCACACTGAAACTGCACACAGAACAAAATTATGCATTTACTGGTTTAACAGGTGTAGTTATCTTCCTAGATTCAAGTGGACTAAAACCAGACCATTTAGGAGATGACATGAGGTTTCACGTACAAACAATGTACGTTCAATGTACCTTCTCAGATCACGCAAAGGTGTGTATGAAAAAATCATACACAAACTACAAAAATTCAAACAGCACCATCATGTTCACAGAGTTCTTGTAATTTACATACATATTTTGAGAAAAACACATTTGCTGGCAAATAGCAAATCGAAATTTATTACTTCATAAAACATTTCGGAAGATGCATGGCAAAGTACAAAACAAGTGATCTTCATAATGGAAACATCTAATTTAAAACATCAGTACAAATATGTGGTGTCCACACAACAACATAAAACCACACTCCTTCTGAGTATATATTACTGTACAAATGCATATTACCAGCAGCCTTTAAGCAGCTGCCTAAAAATGTGTGTAATTTAAGGGAACTCGGAAGCCAGGAACTCCACTGTGCTTTTAGGAAGACTGAAGTGTATACCATCCAAATAGTGCAAGAACCTGTACAAGAGGGGGAAAAAAACCCAACACTGATTATTTTGTTAAACGTGGATCTTTAAATTAGTTTTGGCACTACAAAGCAAGTGAATGTGTTCATTTAAAACAAAACAAATGGTGATAAAATGCAAAAGACTCATACTGACAAAAATGAGAATAAAACATAATCGGTTAATTTAAGCTTTGCAAAAGCCACATCCTGTCCCTCCACTGCGTTTTGCTTTTTTTAGACCCATGAACTATGACTAAGTTGCATTTTCACACCTCCTTGACAGCACAGCGAAAATCATGCATCAGGTACTAAACACATATTTATGAGATGCAATATTTATAGGGCTGAAACAATTAGTCGACAAATCTTTTTGTTGTCGAGTAGTCGTTTGATCTCGTATGACCAAATGTAAGAGCCTGCAGTCATGCGGTTTGACCAGTGTGGCGTTGTAGCGCAAGAAAGTAATTCAGCTCTCCTGGATGCAATTCAAGAGAAGACACAGCGCTTCAGTTCAGAGCAAACGCAGCCAAACCTGAGGCTGCTGAGCGGCGTTTGGATGAATATGTAAATATATGCTGCACGCTTTCCTCTCAATAACAAAATAAACACAACAAAAACTGACCGCAGTGTGAAAGCAGCAGTTAAAAACGTACGCATCTGATACAGCGATGTGGATGTTTGCACGAGCTCTGCAGTTCAGTACTCCAGTAAAATCCAGTCACGTCACGTTTATTTATATAACTTAGTACTTTATGCAATAGATAGCCTTAAATCAAGAAGCTTTACAGGATTACACATGAAAAACCAGAGTCGGTGTCGCTTTCAGTTAGAATTACAACTTGATTTTCTGTTATAACGCAGCTCGCCAGTGTGGGGCTAGCTAATGATAACATCTTTTTATTAGTGGGAAAAAAATATTTCATTAAAGTTATAGTTTGGTTTGCAGAGATCAAAACTTGATCTAGCTCAGGACTGTTTTGATTATCATAACCCTATAAGGTATTTTAAGAGAGATTATGTTGTGAATAAAATAGTTTATCAAAAAATAAAACGTCTTATCACTTACCTTTATTTGGTTTCTTATCCATATGACTTACAAAAGGAGATGTCAGGCAGAATGATGTCATTCAGTGACTTTTTCATATAGCTAATTAAATAGTGAATAAGAGAGTTTCTCTGTCATCTCATTTTGTGTGCCAGATATATTTATTTGTATAAATTAATTGTATAATAGTAATCACATAATATGACTTTCAAAAGCTGAAGTGATTACCTTAATTTATTTGTTAGAATATATATAACTAAATATCTTAACTAATTGCAAAAGCTGAATAATCAATAAATGCCTACTGATCAATCAGTGAAATAATCGATGATTAGTTGAGTAATCGTTCTAATAATCATTAGATTAATCGATTATCAAAATAATAATTTGCTGCAGCCCTAAATATTTATGAAATTATTGACCGTTGTTTTTGTTGTGACTTATTTGTCTAATGTAAATATAGTGTGTGCAATCTTAACTAGTGAATTGTGCCTACTGTGGAAAGGGAGTTTCCCTTGTCACTGTTCGAACTCTGTGTGGCATCTGAATAACTGGAAGTGATCTCACTTTGGGAGCGTAACAAAAGATAGAGACTGTTCACAAACAAGGGTGTGTTTTGCATTAGCAGTTATGAGGAGAACATTACAGAGAAATTCTTGTGTTTTTAATACATCTATGAACATTTCAGGCTCATAAGGTGGTCAAGAGTGTACACCAGACTATTTAAACCAATATCTCGAAGTCAAATGTTTAAATTAATTTTGCTTGCCACAGAGTTCCCACACCTCTTGACTGATCAAGCCCTAACGCCCATTTCAGATGCAGGAACAGCTTGATCATATTAATGCATTAATATAGGATGGTCCTCTAGACTCTCACCTGCGTTTGATCTTTTCCTGCTCCTTCATTCTCTCTGACCTACAGATGGTACGTAGAGAGGGGAGGAAGTCCAGAGCTGCTGCTGCCTGGTTTCCAAGCATTCCAGCTGACCTGGAGGAGAGCACCGACTTCATCACCTCACTTCTCCTCTCCATCACCCTGTGCGAAACAAAATAAGCACAAGATTACGTTTTATTTTACAGTAGGTTGTGTATAAACCACACACAGGAAAAAGAGGAGACAGTGTAATCTAAAACAATGATACTATTTATGGGTAATGGATATAATTGAACATTTGTTTTATATTTGCAAGGATTTCGCTAGTGACATTAAAAAAAAACACTTTTTAGTTTACTAAAGATTTATTACACTAGTTTTGTGTTCCTTGTCTTGAACTTGCAGGTTTAAGAGTACAGGTTTAAAACATTTTAATAGCATGTCTGATTTAACCCTTTGTAAAATTCAGATTAAAAAATTGTTTGCATCACTCAAAAATGTTCAGGAATTGCAATACATATATGCATACACATACATACAGTGTGTGCATAATTATGCAAGTTGATAATTTTGCCACATTTTGCCAATTCCAAACCACATCAATATTAATAGCTACTATTATCTTTGTATTTAACCATTTATGAGTGATATAAAATTGTTATTGAGCATTTCACTGACCAGTGGTCATGATTTAACTTTGCCATTTCTGTATTGCTTTAGTTCTGAATATTTCTCATAGACATTTAATAATTTTTGACTTTTCAGTGTGAATTAAATCTCTTTTTTGGCTCATTTTACCCATAAAAGAAAACCTGCTTTATAATTATGCACACCTGAGTATAAGGCATTTTTCACTTCCAGCCCTTGTTAACAATTATATATCACTTATAAATGATTAAATGCAAAATAATAGTTATTGAGATTGATGTGGTTTGGAATTGGTAAAATGTGCTTGGAAAAAAAAATATATGACCAGAATATCAACTTGCATAATAAATTATGCACACACACACACAATATATATATATATATATATATATATATATATTACTCATTTAGCCCAGCTTCCAGAGAATAAATATGCATTTGTTTTGAAATAATTCATCTGAATCATTAAATAATCAAATGTTATATTTGATAGAAAAAGTGTTATTATTTTGAACTTTGTTCTTCTGCATTTTATTGTGTTTCTCACCACATGCAACTCTTATGTATACTTAATGTTTATGGTTCTTTTTAGGGTTTATAGGACCATTAATTGCTATATGCTAAACTAAGTCAGTGAATCATGTGTAGAAGTTTGTATTAGTGCTCTGTGCTCCGTGTGAATGTATTGTTCTGTTCCAATGATGTGCTGCAGCTCAACCTTGAAGGGAAAAGATATTGCCTATCTAATGTTTTATCTAATTGCGTATTTGCAGAGGTTGTTTAGGAATATGGTAGGCATGTGACCATGCCAAAGGAACAGTCTCCAGGAGCATCAACAGCTGCCCAGATGAGAATTGCCCTCACAAGACTTATGACTTTAAGAAAAGAACACCATGTTGGATGTTGCTAGAATTATTTGTACCTATCAGAACCTTTAGAAATGACATCAACAGATCATCCATATGACTATAAGTACTAGTGTTTCTGTTAGGCCTGGGTGATAAAACGGTATCGGTATTTATCGACGATACACCATCATCGATAACGATAGAAAAATGTTCGATACAGCGCACGATAGTTTCATGCTTTTTTCATTTAATGGCGTGTTATGAATGACAAGAAGACAGGCAACAGAACACACAAACACATGAGTGCCATGCCTGCCTGCAATGAGGAGACTGAATCAAAAAAAGGAATATTAGTTGAATTAAAAAAAAAAAAAATTTCACATTTGAATGCAAAAACTGCAACGGTGTGCGTCAGGGAGCCTTATCAAGTGGCGCACGTGATGCGGTGATTAAGTGTCGTAGATGCATTTGAATGTTTTTGTTAGTCTATCAAGTTGAACCCACAAGATGCGCCATAAATACATGATGCTGTTTTGTTCATAATTGTTTATGCAATTTACTTATAAATTTATTTATAAAAAAAACTTTTTTTTATAGACAGCTGTTATTTCATTGCACTGAATAAACAGTTTAATGAGGTGCATTATTTTGCTCATTGCACCCTCCTGTGTCCTCAGGAGACAGGCCAAATGTTTCCTTAACACTTATTTAATCTGCATATAAAATATAAGAAAGGAGATATTTGTTTCCATTTTATTTTGTGTTTGACTGTTAAAACTAAAATAAGTTGTTGTTTGTCTTAATAAATTGGGTAAATCAAAAATACAGTGGTTAAATTAAAAAAAAAAATTCTACTGCTTTGTTTAAGAAAGGTTATAAAACATTTTCAATAATTATCGGTACCGAATGACATGAAACATTATATCGTGATAATTTTTTTTAGCTATATCCCCCAGTCCTAGTTTCTGTATTGTAAGTTAGTTTGAGGCTGGCTACTCTTACTCATTTACTCTGCATTCAGTACACTCTCTGTCAACTGACTGAACTTTGAATTTGACTCCTGGGCTTTATTGAGCATACTGGTCTTGTAGAAGATTTTTATGAATCAAAATATGACTTAATCAAGTATAATCAATGTGAATATAGACATGTTTGTTATCTACTATTATGATCATGTGTTTCTTGTATGCAAGGAAGCCTGCAGAAGAGTGTAATGTGTGTAACCAAGTTATTTTAATATTATGATCATGTGTTTCCTGTATGCAAGGAGGACTGCCAGAGAGTAATCAAGTTATTCTACTATTATGATAATATGTTTCCTGTGTGTATGGAGAACCGCAGGAGAGTAAAATGTGTACATTGTATGGGGATAGAAGGACTGTGTATGAAATGTGATAAACACATCTTGAGGAAAAACTATATAAAGAGGGTGCAGACACACTCTACAGATTCTCTGCAGAAATTCTTGGCTTCGTTGTCTCTGACAATAAAATCTAACTTCTAGCATCAAAATCTCAAGACTTCAAGAGTGATTTCTCACAGAAGCCACCACAGTCTCTCTATGGGCTTTAACTATAATTCCTGTACACTATCTATATCTATATCTATATATCTCAAATGATTAAATTAATTTCTCTCGCCACAGAGTTCCCACACCGCTTGGCTGATTAATTCCTAATGCCCATTTCAATGCAGGAACAGTTTGTTCATTCATTTTGAATGTTTTGGAAATAAGTCTCTAATGCTCCCCAAGGCTGCATTTATTTAATCAAAAATACCGTAAAAATAGTAATATTGTGGAATAGAAACGTGAAATTCTATTTTAATATATTTAAAAATGTAGTTTACGTCTATTATGGCCATTACTTTAGTCTTCAGTGTCACATGATCCTTTTATTAATTATTCTAATATGCTGATTTGGTGCTCAAGAAACATTTTATAACACTATCAGTTTTGAAAACGGTTTAATATTTTTGTGGAAACTTTTTTCAGAATTCTTTGAAATACGGAAAGTTCAAAACAACAGCATTTATTTGAAATAGAAATCCTTTGTAACATTACAAACATTTTTACGGTCATGTTTGATTTAATGAATCCTTGCTGAATAGAAGTATTAATTTCTTTAACAAATAAATAAATAGCATTAGTGGCTTTTATATTTTAGGAGATAAACACTCACCTTTAGCAGCAAATCTGCAATATTTTCTGTTTGCATATTTCGGATCCCCAGCAAACACTCTGTGCATGCAGTGTGGCAGGGTGGTATTTCATGCTCATTTACATCCTGAGCTTTGACAGACTGATGGTCAATGTCACTCTTGACATCCCCTTTGAGCTCTACAGTGTGAAACAAGTAGTTTTTGATAAGTATATTCACATATTATGATATACAACCAAGAGTTCTCAGTGAACTTTTTCCAGAATCAATTATATCTTTACCTGAGAAAGGCCAAGGCCGATGCACCTGATGTCCACCTCCACTGCAGGCCCAGAACTGCAGGTGCAGGAGGCTTTGACGTACATCACACCTGTTCCAGTCCAGCAGACAGGACAGATCCTTAGTGTCTGTTCTCATGTTTTCCGCCAGACACAGCAGCTGGAGATAACTGGACACATCTGCCTGGAAAAGTCCAAAGTGTTGACGGTCACAAACCAGACACAACACAAGAGAAACTATTTTTTGGCAAAAGAGAAAATAAACTAAGTGAACTTACCACTGAAGGAGATTTTAAATGGATTTCCTCAAAGCACCCATCAAATGTAGCACCAAAGTTTGAATCTGTGCAAAAAAAAGTCCCATGATGACGCACAGATATCACACACTCTAACTTTCTGTTCTCTGCCAACTTTACTCACCACTGGTTGTTAGAATAACTGGTCTTTTAGTTGTAGACATGAAGTTTTTAATTGCAGCCAAAAATCCAGAGTCATCATCAAATATGATGTCCACCTCCTCGAATAAGATGAGGGATGTGGCAGTCCTCTTGTCCTGGTCTTCAGCGGAGATCTTGGTGCCCGCTGATGTTCCAATGGGGCACTCTTTGCTGTCAGCCTCTTTTGCTTCGGCAGACTTTTTCCGACTTGCTTTTAAGACTAAAAGAAAACAAGATGCCATATAAAGGTCTCAAACACGAAACTTGAAAACAAATTCCTAAAAAAATATAAATAAATACATAGCATTAACAGTAAATAAATGCTGTTCTTTTGAAATTATATTCATCATAGGATACAGCGGAAAAAAGTATCAAGGTTTCCACAAAAATATTAAGCAGAACAACTATTATTCAACATTGATAATAATAGGAAATGTTACTTGAGCACTAAATTAGCATGTAGAAAGAAAACAAGAAATGCCATAGAAAGGTCTCAAACGTGAAGCATGAAAACAATTTTGTAAATACGGCTCACAATAAATCTCAATATCAATTCAATATTTGTGTTTGGCAACACTTGACTTGGATTACTGGATTTTGAATTATTACCAGGTTGTGTTTTCTTGTCTTGACTGTTTGCATCTTTGCCAGTGGGCCTTCCACCTGCTTTGAAGAAATTGGCTAGAGATGTCGGAGCCAAGCCTCCTCTTCTGGATGGAGCCATTCGAGGGGACAGAGGAGGCTTCCTGGGCGATGATACAACCCTTCTGGGGGAGTTCAACTTCCCTGTGATTGGAAGAGACACTGAGAACTCAAACAAAAAGTCATGCACAGTATATATTGTTCTGTAACCATCAAGGGAAAAAAAATTCATACTGGGAGAGGAGCCGACTTTGATAGTGGTGCTGTTGCTGCTATAATTGCTGAAGTATGATGGTTTTTGAGCGTTGACACCCTGGATGTCAACCTGGTGGGACTGAGTGGCTTCCTTCAGCTGGGATAAGATCTGACGACCACTCCTTTGAGACGAGGAGTTCACCTCAAATACCTTGAGAAAGAACACCAACAGTGTTGGTAGAAATACTTTCCTTTTTAGAACGGCACTAGACAATCCCAAAATAGTAAAGTGAATTGAAAAATGAACCACACCTTGAATCCAAGTTCTTGTGCACAGGCATAGACTGCAGCAGTCTTGCCCACTCCAGTGGGTCCAGTAATAAGAAGAGTGTTACACATACGATCTTCTGTCTCATCTAGACCTTCTCCTATGAGCCAGGAGTCTGGATAGAAATAAAGTTGAGACAATGATTTTTGAATATGGCAAGCAAAACAGCTAGTACTGTGCCGTTTAGCATCTTTACATACCATTACTGTCCTCCTCTTGCTTCTTTTCCTGCTGTTTCCTCTTCTCTTCCCGGTCAGCTCTCAATTTCCACTCTTTCAGCCAGCTAACAGTAATAAACAAATTGAAATAAGAAGAAATTTAACAGAAAAAAAAAATGAATATTCATTACTGGCATGTCGATTAGTGAATGGGATCTTTCACCATCTTTGTTTAAACTAGACAGCATAGTAACCTGTGTAGCCTCCAGACAGGCTCCATATTCCCAATTACTTCACTGGAATGCTGCGGCTGATATTTCTCTGTCCAAAGCACATCCTCTTTCACTCGATCTAGAAATTTAAACATGAACAACCACATTACAAAAAACAAACATGTAGTGCAAACAAGTTTAAGAAACATTATTTCATAACACCTTAGGTTCAACTCGAGGTATAATGAACGAACTACCAACCATATTATAAATACACTACCGTCCAAAAGTTTGGGGTCAGCAAGATTTTCTTTTAAATAGATTAATAGTTTTATTCAGCAAGGATGCATTAATTTTATCAATAGTGACAGTAAAGACTTTTGTAATGTTATAAAAAAAAATCAATTTCAAATATTGTTCTTTTGAATGTTCTATTCATCAAAGAATCCTAAAAAAGGGATTGGGTTCCACAAAAATATTAAGCAGCACATCTGTTTTTAATATTGATAATAATATATAATGTTTCTTGAGCAGCAAATCATCATATTAGAATGATTTCTGAAGGATCCAACACCTTAGGTTCAACTCGAGGTATAATGAACAAACTACCAACCATGTTATAAATACACTACCGTCCAAAAGTTTGGGGTCAGCAAGATTTTCTTTTAAATAGATTAATAGTTTTATTCAGCAAGGATGCATTAATTTTATCAATAGTGACAGTAAAGACTTTTGTAATGTTATAAAAAAAAATCAATTTCAAATATTGTTCTTTTGAATGTTCTATTCATCAAAGAATCCTAAAAAAGGGATTGGGTTCCACAAAAATATTAAGCAGCACATCTGTTTTTAATATTGATAATAATATATAATGTTTCTTGAGCAGCAAATCATCATATTAGAATGATTTCTGAAGGATCAGGTGACACTGAAGTCTGGAGTAATGATACTGAAAATTCAGCTTTGCATCACAGGAATAAATTACATTATAGAATATATTTTCAAATAGAAAACATTTTAAATTGTAATATTTTATTGTAATAATACTTTCTAATAATATATTTTACTGTATTTTCAATCAAATAAATGCAGCCTTGAGAATAAGAAACTTTCAAAAACCCCAAACCTTTGTACTCTTGTTCATTGTAAATTCATGTTTGTTGTACAACTAATGCTAATCAATTACTGTAAAGTTACAATTTTTTTCAAGCAGGCTTTGAGAGGAAGAAAACTTTTCAGAGTGTGAAAAGATTGTCTTAAAAGGTATTTAATTTTCACCTCCTGTGCTTGAACTTTCTGGGACAGGGGAATCCATTATAATGAGAGCATCACTCTGGTTTCCCACAGGTGAGATCAACTCTGCCGGCTTGGCCTCTTCTTTCTGCTTTATTCTCAGTGACCGACCTCTTCGACTTCTGCCAGACGGCACAGTGTCAGAGACATTCTGTGCTGCCTGAACTCCTGATGGTGGACTTTCTTCAGTCACTATGGCATCCCCTTCTGGACTGGACTTTGGTTTTTTACCCACTTTGCCTGTTGTCCCTCCTTCATCCACACGCTTCCTTTTCCTTCCGACACCATTAGATGTTCCAGCAGGGCAGGACACCTTAGACTCAACTTCAGGTTCTACAGATAATCATATAAATCAAAGAAATATGCAAACAATCTGTCAATCATTCTGGAAGACACGTCTCATTATGAATGCATTTCTGCCTAAGAATAATATCTTACTGCAAGCTAAAAACAAAAAATTTAGTTGAATTGTATTTTTCAGTCACCTGAAGCAGAGGCCTGGAGGATGTAGTCCTCACGTCTCTTAACAAACTGCGTAAAAAAGCGTTGATGAGGGAAGGAGGGATTGGAGATTCTCATCTCCTCCAAAAGATGCTGCCTGATTGGCTCAGAAAACTCGGATCTTCGACAACAGGACATCTAAATGATAAAAAAACAAGTTACTTCTTTTTGACCAATTTAATGCACCCTTACTGAATAAAAGCATTAATTTAATTCAGGAAAAAAAATATTTTACTGACCCCAAACTTTTAAACGATAATGTCTTAAATAAAAAATGCAAAACACATAAATCTAACAATTTTCACCAAAAGATTACCAACCTGGTGGCAAAAGGCTCTTTTAGCAGGAACTGTAGTATAACCTAAAGACTTCTCCAAAGACATCAGTGGCACAGATGGTAAATTATAGGACTCCTTCAAACAACTCAGGAAGGGATTCGTAGGCCACTGGAGGTTCCAAACACAACAATCTGCCATGGACAGAAATGAGCACATTAGTTTCTAATACACACAAATAAAGAACACAATCTAGACCAGTGGTTCCCAACCTTTTTCAACTCGCGGCCCACACAACCAAACACATACGTTTCCGCGGCCCACTGCAAAAATTTTTTAACTGACCCCACTATTTGTTGGGTTAATAACTGAGTACTCAGAAGCTAGATTGTTAACTGTCTTTATTGAATTAACTGGCAATGAACAGAAAATAACTCTGGCTGGCACCGCTCAGCAAAACGGGAAAACCAGATCCAGGCAGAGGTCGGAGGGAACATGCAGAGCAGTGTTGAGACGAGCAGTCAAAACCGGCAGAGAACTGGAGCACTGCACAAAGCAAGACTAGAGTCAGACTCGAGTGACAAGCGCAAATTGAGAGCAGATATAGAGCGAAAAATCGAGAGAGATAAAACTGGCGAGAAACCAATGAGCAGCTGCGCTGCATGCAGCTGCTGCGTTGAAGGGAAAAACAAAGACACGAGGGAAACACAGAACTGAGAAAACAGCGATCAAACCCTAGTCCTGACCATTTTTAATTTGCATTGTGTGAATAATCTGAAAACAACAGCCATGACACAAACTTAATGGATAACATGCAAGAAAATAAATAAATAAATAAAAAACCTTCTGGCCTCATAAACTACAATCTTTGTCACTTACCTAATGCGAAGGTTGGTGTTGTTTAGCATTTATTAAGTGCTGTATGTCGGGCTGAAGTGAAGAAAGTTGCAAGCGGAGATCAGGCTTGACGTTAAGCTTATTCCGGTATTTTGTCTTGAGTGCCACCAATGCAGAAAATCCAGCTTCGCATAAATATGTTGTCGGAAATGGCATCAGAAACCTCAGAGCTTTGTCAGAAAGATCAGGATACTCGGAGAGAGTATGAATCCAAAAATCCATCAAAGATTTTTGAGAAAACGTTAATTTTAAAGCACTGTCACAAGATAAGTCAATAAGGCTGTCGTGCTCTTTTGCACTTAAACTTGCGACGGCTTCATCACACAAATTTACAAAAGGACTTTCAATCCAGGTAACCTGAACATCTGGAGATGGGAAGTAGTCGTGCAACTGGCTCTTCAGACCTTGGAGATGCTCTTCAATCAGCTTTGTAACTGAGGCAGGTAGGCTCATGGCTTCTTCTGTCAAAAAAATGCGACAAATTCTCAAACGATTCGGAGTTTGATTTGCTAATTCGCCCGGTCCACATGTCCAGTTTCTTTATTGTGGCTTCGACTTTATTTTGGACTTGAAACGCTGTCACTGATTTGCCTTGAAGACTCAAGTTCACTCCATTTAGGTGATTGAAAATATCAGAGAGGTAGGACAATTTTGCAAGCCACTCAAAATCACTGAGGCGGTCCGAAAGGGGACATTTTGAATCGGATAAAAAAATCCGTGCTTCGTTGCGTAATTCGAAGAGACGACTAAGCACCCTGCCTCGTGAAAGCCATCAGTGTGTAAAAGAAGCTGAACATGATCACTTCCCATTTCTTCACAGAGAAGTCAAAACAAACGTGACTGAAGGGGCCTAGTCTTTATGAAATTGACTATTTTAACAGCCTCATCCAAGACACATCCGAGATCTGTGGGCATCTTCTTGGTCGCTAGTGCTTCTCGATGTAAACTGCAGTGGACGGAGCTCATGAGCGGTGCAACTATTCTCACGCGCGCAACGACTCCGTTACGATGCCCCACCATCGCTCTTGCTCCGTCTGTGCTCAGACCCACGCATTTAGACCAATCTATTCAATTTGAAACAATAAATGCATTCAAAATATCAAATATGGCTTGGGCAGTTGATTGAGTCGGCAGCGACTTACAGAAAAGGAAATCCTCTTGTAATTCTCCGTTATGTACATACCGTACATAAGCAATGAGGTTGGAAAGGTTTGCTATATCGGTCGATTCATCCAACTGTAGGGCATAAAAGGGACTCTCTCGAATGTTTTTAACCAACTTCTGAGTTATGTCATCTGCCATTTCATTTATTCTTCTCTCAACTGTATTATCTGAAAGTGAAATCAGATTTAACTGCTTTCGCTAACGGCCTTTTCTCCACACATCACGCCAACCATTTCTGTCGTGGCAGGTAAAATCAAATTTTCACCAATTGTGTGAGGTTTTCCAGCCTTTGCGATGAGCTTTGCTACACGATAAGATGCCTCCACTGCTTTACTGTTGTCGTTGCCAGAGAACGCAGTTTCAATAGTTTGTTTCCTGCTTTGGTACTCTTTCAGTTTGTTCTCAAAAAACTCAATAGGCTTGGACACATATTCACTGTGTTTAGTCTCCAAGTGCCGTCGTAGTTTGCTCGGTTTCAAAGCTTCATTTGATAAGACTTCTGAGCAAACAACGCAGAGTGGTAGCTGCTTGTTCTCCGCTCCCACACACGTGAAGCCTAGCGCTAGTCACTACTGTATTTTCTTTTAGATTTATTTTGAGTCTTTTCAGTGTCAGGCTTACTTGTAGATGGAGAAACATCTGCATTTGTTCTTTTCAGCGACCCTGTTGACAGCCATTTATCCATGTTTGAATCTGTTGTTCTGTAGCATACGCAGCAAAAATATTTTAGAATTGGCGGTTTATTCTTAAACCAATCAGCGAGCTCGAATAGTGGAAGCAAAGTAACAGTTTAATATTTATTTTTTGTTAATTAATTATATATATTAAATTATGATATTATGTTATGACTTAGACATTTTTACATATATTAACAATATTATTATTTGTTTTAATAGTAATTGGCGGCCCCCCTGCAATACCGTAGTGGGCCGCGGCCCACAGGTTGAAAACCACTGATCTAGACAACATCTGTCAGCTTACCTGCAGCCCGCTGCTGGATATGAACCACTGTCTGGGAAGAAGCACAGGCCTGGCTGTACGCCTCTCGACTGGCTGCTGTCTTTGCGATCTGCTTTTTGAAGGACTCCGGAAGGCCACTCTTCAGAAACTCTCTCTTTGATCTGAACTGTTCATCATCTTGCGAGTTCTCTGATGCCTCTCGACTGACAGGGTTGAGTTTGTGGGGACAGGCATTTATTAGAATTTAACACTGACGGGAAAGTGAAAGAAATAAAGAGCATTTTCCAATTCAATTAGTGTCTGTAATTATTAGCGCAATACCTGCTGTCATCAAAAATGGAGATGATAACCGACGGTCTCAGAGCTTTTTTTTCACCAAACAGAAGAGCCACTTTAGAAGCTGAAAAAGATGAAGACATCAATGGATTTTTTAATGACTTGAATGCAATTTCCATGTTGGCACAAAAATGAAACTAATTCATTATTAAAAATAATATTAAAGCAGGTGTTGACTCAATTTTAACCATTTGTGTCAGTGTAACATACCTGCAGGAGTCTTGGATGTTTTATTTTTACCCAAAACTTCATTCAAACTACGAAGGTTTTTCTGGCTTTTGTCACTTTCCTGTGAGGTGACTGGAGTGCTTTTGCTGTCCTCCAAAAACACTATAGAATCCTATACAAATGACATATAAATTATATAAATTAAAGAATAACCTGCGCAATTTTAGCAGCAGTTCCTGTAAGCATAAAACATTTACACCAGTTCACTTCTAACACATCCAACCCTTACCTCATCTTCACAGTAATTTATGACAGACTCTTTGCTTCTTGAAGAACGTCGTACAGTGTCTTTCTCCTTATTAGTGTCTTTTTTACTTTGCTGAAGAGCTTTGGCTTCCTGCACCAGCTTCCTAGCTTGTTTTCTTTTTTTAACTGCATTTAATTCCTAACAAATAAGAATTTTTGTGAGTAATCTTCCATTTTAAAACAACGGCTAATGACAATTATTTTTTATTTTTATTAATAAAACATCATTTAATTTAGATTACAAATTTCTTATCAAAATAATTACACAAAAACACTTACATACACAACACTTATATAAACACTTATATACACAATGTAAGTATTTTTGAAAAATGTTAAAATATTACATAGCATTCTTTTTTTATAACATTCATAAATCATAAATGTTAGTTACCTGTGTTGAGAGAGGACTTGATATTTCAAAATCACCAGCTTTTGTAGCAGAGGACAGAAATACTTTGGTGATTCTCATCCTATTGAATAAAATTGATGATTTATTGTCTCATGTACTTCACAAGAAACAATTAAAGTAGGAAATTATAAAGTGAATCTCACCTGATAGGGCTGCCTTTCATGTCTGGTGGGCAGAGCATTTCAGCTCTATAAATTCCCCTTTTGGACCTTTGAGCTTTTGGGGTGGAGGCCAGAGAGGGTGTATTTTGGGTCTCATCATCTTTTACTGTGTCCTCTTGCCTCTCTTTCTTCTGTGGTGCGGTATTAAGCACAGCGGCTGACTGCCTTCGTGAAAGCTCTCTGGTTGACCTCCTCAGCTCTCTGACAGCCTTTTCACTGCTGTCATTATCAGCTGGGCTACTCTCATTACCGACCTCTTTGGGAGGTTCTTCAGGTTTCGGAGTTGCAGCTTGTGCATCTTCAGCTTTCTTAGCTTGCCCATTCTTCCCAGATTTCCTAGCTCGCTTCTTTTTGTCACCAGGACAGCTCTTCTGTTCTTCATGCTGCTCCAAGCTGGTCACTTCAGTTTTGTCCTCAATACATTTTTCTTCAGTTTTGTTCTCGAGAGATTTTTCGTGTTCTCTGTCTGCTGCCTCCGGTACTTTCTCGTGAACGTGGTTCTGCTTGCTCTGACCCTTGTTGGTTTTGCTTTTAAACCCATCAAGACTAGGCTGCTTAAAGGCATTCATAAACTGCTTTCTCTCTGCCTCAGTGCTTTTAGGATTGGGGCTGGACTCCACCACATCAAGTTCCAGATCTTCCTCTAGAAGAACAACGTTAGACTTCCTTTTGAGGTCAGGCAATACGTCCGGTTTAACCTCTGGGATAAGATGAGACAAACTCTTGTCCTCTTTTAATTGACTTTTTTTATTTCTACTAAAAATAGATGCAACTTTTAACTCCTTGGCAACTTTGACGGACTCATGATGATCAGGGGAAATGGGATGCACCTCAGCTTGAATCGTGAGAGTTCGGGGTGATACCTGTAAAGGACCGACTGCAGAATCACTCTGATCAGAGATACAGAGGTTGCCTTCACTTGATGTGTCAGTGGCATCAGTCTTGGGAATCGCATTGCTCTCTTCCTGCTCTTGACTTTGATTCTGCAGGAAGTCTTTAAATGAGATTGTGATGGTGCTGCTTTTCTTATCTGCACTTTCCTCCAATTTAGTCTCACATACAGGCTCCTGAGCATCAGCATCACATTCCTTAGTTTCTTCACAGCCAACTTTTGCCTTTCGGTTTCTCCTCACAGCAGATTTTCTGTTTGCACAGTCTTTCCTCCTGCTTTGTTTTAACGAGGATTTCTGTTCAGAACTTTCTGCAGAATTCTTAATCGTCAGGACATTTGGATCAGCCTCAGTGGCATTTTTCCTCGCATCAGATTCTTTATCAGAGTTTTGAGCTGGAAGGACAGCAGTATTGCTTTCATTTACAGCTGATTCACTGGGACTTTCCATCAAGACAACGTCATCTGTGACCACCTGTGCATCCTCCTCTTTGGCCTTCTTGCTGTCTTTGGCCTTCCTGGTTCGCTTCTGTCCCTGTCCTCTTATAGGTTTACCAGGGATTTCTCGACTTACTTGCTCTGAAGGTTGCGGGGAGCTTTCTTTAGCTACTAAAGGGCAGCTTTTTATTTCTTGTGCAGGCGAGGTCCTCTTAAAGTAGTCCATAATGTTGTTAGAACGTGGTGGTGAGAACGGTTTCTCCACCGGCTTGGGCATAAAGTAGTTAGTAATCGTTTTGACAGATGGTGCATCACCATCCTTCCTCAATTTCTTACACGGCTGGAGAAACAGAGCAATAATGTCAACTGCTGAAAATCATTCAATGTTCCTTGAATAGAAAATCAGTACTTTGCCAAATCAGCATACCAGCTTTTTGTGACACATACCTGACCCTCAAAATCTTCCATAACAGACGCCATAGCCACGGCCCCAGCCATCGTTTCACCCCCAAAACTAAAGTTCTGTATAGTTTTAACAGACAAAACCAAGGACTTTAGACGAGTTTAAACACAAGCACAAACAACCAAGCCACATTCTGTTCAAAGATTATTTAAAAATATTTACACCATGAAAATTTGCATATAACAGTGACAGTTAAACTCTGAATGAGTCTCCATAATCGCAAATATGAAATGTTTACCTGTCAACTATGCGTTTGTAGAAGAGGCATAAACATTTCAGACACTCACCGGTTCTTTTCCTTCTTTGAGGGACACGTTGATACATAGTCTAAATATACAGTGTACAGTGCATAAAATATGAGCACAACAACGAGTTTACGTAAACAGTAATCCTACCTACACATTTCCCAAACAACGATACACACTCCAAAACCGGCGAAAAACAAACATAACATGTGATAATAACCGATCCCCAAACCCACCTTACGTGGAAATGTAATCAGAAGTGCATTTGAATCTAATGTTGAGAGCGCATATTCACTAATAATGTAGGTTTTAGTGTAGTGAATTGTTTTCGACAAATGGCGCCAAATATCACGGAGGTCTTTCGCCGCGCCGGCTCGGCCAATCACAGCCCGTGTCATCATACAATCCGAAACAGGAAAAAGCGCCTTTTCAAACTAGTGATGGGAATTCCGGCTCTTTTTAGGGATCCGAATCATTTGGCTCAGCTCAGCAAAAAGAGCCGGCTCTTTCGGCTCCCAAACGGCTCTTTATTTAGGACCACTTCTGGCTTTTATAATTCAGCCAAATTTTTTGACCTTTGTCTGGTATGTGTGCACAAATATAATTAAATTATTCAAAGTAATTAAACTAAACCATTCAAAAAATAAAATTCAACACTATAAAATTCCATGTAATATTCAGTTTTGTCAAATCACACTTGTCTGTAATTCAGATTTACACAAATTCAAATTGTTTATAGCCTCTGGCTCCATAAACCTTTCCGAAATACCATCATTTTACATTATTCTTAGTATAAAAACCAAAAACCTAATTTACGTAAATACATAAAACACTGTCACAGAACATTATTACCCAGATCACACAGGTACATCTCTGCTAAAGAGTGCATGATCTATGAAACATCTGCTGTGCAAAAAACATCTGATAAACATCTTAGAAAAAAAGCAGATTTACACGCATTCTAAAATATGAACATCTTCAAGACATCTGATAGATGTGCAAACACTCTAAAAAAAATACATCTTGCAGATGTAAATGCAGACATTAAGACATGTCAGGGTAGTGAACTATCCAAAACACATTTATTACAACTATTATAAACAAATCATACTCAAAATGTAACATGGTGTGCCACATAACAGATAAAAACTAAATTACAGTGTGCAGAACAGAAGCATTCAACAGTTGTATTGTTATATCTATTAACCCTGTCACATTGTGCAGGTGTGTTGACTCTGTTGGTGTGTTTGTGCAAAGCAGCATGAGTCAGTACATGAAGTGCGCGTGGCTAACAAACAGTGTGGCAAAAAAAAATCCTATTATTTTGTCGTGTATTAAGAAAGTTAAACAAACAACGCCGAGAGCCGTCTTAGAAAACGGCTCTCGGACTGGAGCAGAATCATATAGTTCACTCAAAGGAGTCGACTCTTAGAGCCGACTCACTATTTCAAACGACATTCCATTTCAAAATAGTAACAGTCGTCTGGAAGAGACCAAGAGAACAAACAGATATTTCTTCATTAACGTGGTTACATTGTCCTATTAAATGAAATTAACTTGAACTAAGGGATACATTACGCCTAATATCCTCATGTATCCCACATTTAAGGTTTAAACTGTTAAAAAAATTACATCATGACAGGCAGTATAACTATCTTAACATTTTCTGTCAGATCAAGATTTTTCCACTAACCCTTTTTCTTTTTACGAATTAAACGACAGGCGCCTTTATTTTGAAAGATGAGCCGAACAGTTGCCGCGGCCTTGTTGATGTGACGCTCACACTTGCATACGCCGCTTTACCAACGTACCATCTACAAAAGAAACAACGGACGCCTAAACGAATTTAATCCAAAGCCCAAGGTATGTAATATGTATTTATACTTACATTCCAACGTGTGAAATGCAATTCTTATTTTAGACGTAAAAGCAGAAAACTCAAACAAACACGGCACAGCATGACTAGCATTCACGCTAACCGCTTTGTGCCTACTTTTTTTTTTTTTGTAAACCAGGCTTTGCAAATGTATTGGAAATTATCATTTTTGCAATAAAACTGTAAGATACTCGATTGAAAACTCAGTTGCAAAGGGTTCGTCAAAATTGGTGGATAAGTTGCGTACAAGAAAGTGAATAAATAAAATAGTTTAATTTGTTGTATTATTTTTAGTAATAATATTTAAAATAACACCGAAATTCAAATTTAAAATTAATTAATGTAACAGCTTACCAACTAATAAAAAAATAAAGATTATATTATTATATTTATATATTCTATTATATATGGTATTATTTAATATAAATATTTAAGTTAAACAATATTAATATTATTGTAAAAGAGTTTTTTATTATTATTATTAAACACACTGATACACTAAAAGACTCACTGGCAGATTTGTCTTAAGTAAGTTTCAAGCTTGTATATGATTGACGTTTCTGATGATAATTTTGTTGTGTGTGTCTCTGTTTTACAGTTCTTTTCTCATCTTGGCATCTTTCGGGATCATCTCGGTGTGTGCAATTATGTGCACAACCTCATAGTCTCTTTGTTTCTCAGGAGGCTGAGTGTGTTCGTGGTCTCTGTGAGACTAACAGAGGACTGGAGAGCCAGTGAGAGGTTTTTATCAGCCTCACATTGAGGAGTATTTCTGTGAATGTGTATGCATGTGTGTCATGATGGGCGATGTCATTGACCTGGACAGACAGATTGAGCAACTCAGACGCTGTGAACTTATCAAGGAAAATTAAGTCAAGGCACTGTGTGCCAAAGCGAGGTAATGCTTAGGTGTTCAAGAGACCAGGGGTCCGTTCTTCGTACCTCGCTTAATACATTTGAGATGATTTGAAAGATTCCAGATCTAGTAATCGTGATTAGAGCCCGACCGATATGGGTTTTTTCACAATTTCAAGCATTTTATCTGCGTTATATATGTTCTGTAAAAATAAATTTCATATCGGCGGCATATTCGCCGATACCGATATATCGGCAACAGGCTCATATCGGCCGATAATATCGGCAAAATGATATATCGGTCGGGATCTAATCGTGATAACTGATCTCTGGCTAATTTGGTTCTTCAAACGAATTTGCAGATCTGATTAAAATATCTGGATTAAGTTGTCTAAGATTAGCGCGCATTCTCATGTTCCCTGAAAAGGGCAGATGTATTGATCGATACTGGAGACCACGATCAGCAATGCAGCGATTGGCTGGCGGCAAGACAGCTATTTATATTCATGATTTCTTGTATTTGTACAGGCTTTACAGTTTTATTTCAGTGTTGTAATTATTAATTAATGTAATCTTTGAAGCAGATTTGTTACATGACAGCGTTAATTAAAGTTTCTTAAGGGTCAAGATCAAGTTATCTGCATCTCCTGCGCTCCATCAAGCCACTCCCATAATATCTGTCACCACTTAAATTAATGCACGACTCGGATTAACTTTATAGCATGTGTATAAGTCTCCAATACAATTATAAAGTAAATATTTCATCACTAATACATTTTTCAACGAGTAAACCTGGCTGTGTCTATAGTGTTATAGATGATGACTACACAACATTATAATATTTTTTGTATTTTTAAATTATTATTATTGTAAATTACTACCTTGGATCAGTAGGGTACTCTTCTAATAAAGTAGCAGTGGCTGGGACAGATTTTAAGTATCAGTTCTGCTTACAAAGATGCGATCTAATCCTGTTTACATGAAATAAGCCTGCTCCCGAGCAGGTTTAAGCTTAAGGACCTGTTGCTATGACAGCAACTCCGGGATGAGCTTCGAAGAACCAAACAATCCAAGATCATGCCAAATCGTCAACAATCAAATCCAGCTAACTGAGTTAGCGACGTACGAAGAACGGGCCCCAGATATCTCATTATGCATTTGTTTTACTTATTAGTTTTAGTCCGCTATGCACAACCCATGTGCATCTAAATGACTGGTGCTGATTGTTCTCAAGTTTTATATCATTATACAGTTTCTTGTTGTGAAATAATGTTCAAAAGCTACCTTACTTATGCTGTAAGTAGGCCTGTCACGATAACAATTTTTTGTTGTGCGATATATTGCCCCAGAAATAATTGCGATAAGCGATATTATTGTCATTTTAAAGACCATTTTATGCCACTGAATATATAATCATAATGTAACAGCATAATAATGCAAGAAGGCCTACACACTTCCAAATGACAACAAACTTTTAATTTTTAAGAATATTTAGATCATGGAAATTAAGTATCAAAATATTGGATACCTTAAAAAACTTGAATAAATAGTAAATAAACATTTTCTAACAAAAAATGCAAAGTAACTAGTACAAAAAAAGAAAACTGCACAAAGAACTTGTATGGAGATTTTTCCATCTACAGATTTTTTCCTGACCTTCTTTTCTCTGTAAATTAAGGGTGCACACTATTACTTAGCAGTCAGATGTCCGTATGCACAAAGGCACAGATCCCTAAACAAGATCATATCTGCAGATGCAACTTTTTTTTTTTTTGTAGAAGCATTTTTTAAATTTGAACTAGCACCTCATGACTACACCATGTTATGTACGAGAAGCTGCAAAAGACACAGGCGCAAGTGGAATGTACTAAACATGGTGACATTATTTTTAAGCAAATATAATGTGCGATATATTGCGTCACCAAAAATTATTGAGGTCATGTACATATATTGCGCGATAAGTCGATATATTGATTATTGCGACAGGCCTAGCTGTAAGTGTCATTGTTTTGCTTTATAGGGAGATTCTAGTGGAAGAGAGTAATGTTCAGAGGGTAGATTCTCCCGTCACAGTGAGTATTTCTGTATACATTACCTTCTATAAACTTTTATAGGATTATGTAATTGTGAAAGCAGCTCATTATTTTTTTTTTCAGGTCTGTGGAGATATACATGGGCAGTTTTATGATTTAAAGGAGCTATTTAGGGTAAGCGACTGAGAATGCAATATGGCGTTTGTTAAATTTACAATACTTTTACTTTTGAACTTGTATGGACTGGTAGATCAAGTTTCTTAAAATAAACAAAACAACAATGCATTGTGCTGTGTTGTTTGACTCTAGTTGTCCTCTGGGTCTTCAGGTGGGGGGTGAAGTTCCAGAGACAAACTACCTCTTCATGGGAGACTTTGTGGACAGAGGGTTTTATAGTGTGGAGACTTTTCTGTTGCTGCTAGCATTAAAGGTGTAGTATCTGTCCTGAAGTTAATCCTGTTTGCTTTGTAATGTGTGTATGTTAAAGCTGTTCTACACTCTGTAGTCTGCTCTTATTCATAGTACTTTATATTTATGTCTTCAGGTGCGATTCCCTGACCGAATAACGCTGATCAGAGGGAATCACGAGTCGAGGCAGATCACGCAAGTGTATGGCTTTTATGACGAGTGTCTCAGAAAATATGGCTCTGTTACGGTCTGGAGGTACTGCACAGAGATCTTTGACTATTTGTCCCTCTCTGCTATTGTTGATGGCAAGGTAGGTCCTCTTAATTCTGTATCTTTCCACTTTCTATTTTTAATATGTTTAACAATGTAATCTATTCCTTATTTAGCAGCCATTACTCCAGTCTTCAGTGTCACGTGATTCTTCTGAAATCATTCTAATAGGCTGATTTGGTTCACAAGAAATGTTTCTTATCAATGAAAACAGCTGCTTAATATTTTTGTGAAAACTATTTTTCCTATTCTTTGAACAGGAAGTTCAAAGGAACAACATTTATTTGAAATACAGCTCTGTTGGATGAATGTAAAACTTATTGTCACTTTTGATTAATTTAATGCTGAATAAAAGTATCATACATATATATATATATATATATACACTTGTTTTTGCTCCTCAGATATTTTGTGTGCATGGTGGCCTTTCTCCATCTATTCAAACTTTGTATCAGATCAGGACTATTGACCGAAAACAGGAAGTTCCTCATGATGGACCCATGTGTGACCTGCTGTGGTCTGACCCAGAAGGTGAAGAAGACTGTGATATTCGACAATAAAGGAAAGGCCATCAATATGTTGTTAATACCTCTCTTTTCTTGTCTCTAGACACCACAGGGTGGGGTGTGAGTCCCAGAGGAACTGGATATCTGTTTGGTAGTGATGTTGGTGGCACAGTTTAATGCTGCCAATGATATCAGCATGATCTGCAGAGCTCATCAGCTGGTGATGGAGGGCTACAAGTGGCATGTCAATGAAACTGTGTTAACGGTGTGGTCTGCTCCAAACTACTGTTATAGGTGTGTTTCTTCTCATCTTACAGTGGTGCAGTAACTCTTGTGTGTATCAGTGACCATTAATATGTAAATATGCTGGTTTGAATGAATTAATTTACTCTTTTGGAATATTTCTTAGGGGTGGTAATGTGGCAGCCATTTTGGAGCTTGATGAGCATCTCCAGAAGGAGTTTATCATATTTGAAGCTGCACCTCAGGAAACCAGAGGCATCCCCTCTAAGAAACCTGTGGCTGACTACTTCCTTTGACTTTTTCTAGTCCAGGAGAAAAATTGGAAGCATCAGAAACAACATCTGTATAAACTTTTTTTTTCTTCTTTTTTGTGCTGGCCAACTTTTATCTGCACATTCAGTATTTCTGTGAATGGACCAGTTACAGCATTTATTGCCTTCACATTCCTTCCTCATTACAAATGTTTTTATTTATCTTGTCAAATGTATTTGAACCGGTTTTAACTGTCCCTAATTATGTGGTAGTTTTGTATTTTCAAACTGGTGATATTTTTTTCAACAAAAAGAATAAAATAAGTAATATAATTTAAATATTTGCATATATAAATCTACAAAAACAAGCATATTTTTTAATATGCAGCTGCTTGTATTTATACAGCCGGTGTTCCATATCAGTAATCATTTAGCACTGATAAAAATGTTTGTAATCAAACCTAAAAGATTTACAAGATCTTGAATAATAGGCTGTAAAGATGTAAGTGATAAATCATGATGGCAAGGCGTCATAGACAAGATCATACACAAAAGATAACACTTTCAGGTGCTCAGTTAAAGGCATTGAAAACTTGCTATACTAAAGTTGCTATATATTTTTGAGTTCAATGGTCACAGATTTAAAAATGGAATCTAGTTGATGCACACATAAAAGTTGGAAGCTGATTTGGTTCTGACCTGTTATTTTACAAAACAAACATTTTAATGTCCAAATATTGTGATATTTGATTGCCAACATTAAGCAGATTATGGGTATTCCTATTGCTAGTAAGTAATATTTTTTTCTGTTACTGGTAACCTGAAAGTTTTTCATCTTACTAATGTTACAGAGTGGCCAACTAAAATGGATCAAAGATGTGTGAGGAGAAATTGCACAATGTTTTACAATGTAAGTTATCATTTATTGTTTTAAAATGCACTTAAACAATGTTTTTGTCCATCACAACACATTTATGCTCTAAAGAAATCATTCACCGGGTAATATATTCATTGCAGCCACAAAAAGAATTCCTTAAAAAGGGTAAGATCAAATAAGCAGTGGTGAAATGTCATCATTTTACTGGATTTTTCTTTACTCTTAATTAGATTAACTGTCTTAATTAGATCTCTTAAATGGGAGCTTACAACCAACAATCATATGTACAACTTAACCAGATGGCAAGATCATGATCAAAAACATGATTTTGTCACCACAGAATCATTTAAAAAAAACTGAAGCCATAGTGAAAATCTCTGAGACAGAGCTTTCTACCTCATCAACAACTCTGTCCCCTAATCTAAGAGCACATACTTAGCAATTTTTGCAAGGTTAAAACCAACGTCAAGAATTTATCTCTCTTGTGTCACTCTTAAGCTTTAATGTTGACATGATCAAATCTGTTGCAAACACCAATGCAAGTACTTATTTGACTCAAGTGCCTCACTGTAACCTCCATTTATTTCATTTAGAAAATGAGGGCCAATTGACTTGTTTTTAACCTGGAGATTTCCTTGAACAAGTATAAAAGAAACAGGCTTTGAGAAAATTCATAATGTCCATGATGTTCAGACTGAGCAGACTAAACATATTGACACGTTCTCATATTTCTTGCTCTAGTTGCTTTTTGAGTATGTCAAAATAAAAGAAATCAAATCACTTCGGTATCAATTACTTTTACGCCAAATCATTTTCCTCAAAATATTGAAATGTAGCACAACAGACTACAACACAGAATAAGTGTATAAGATGGTTTTTTTTCTTTTGGTTATTACAGAAAGAGTCATAGATAAGTTCTTAATCAAGCAGTAGTGGTCAGTTCAGTGTAACGGGAAAACTTAATCTGTATGCCTCCATTTCTAGTAGCCATGCGTTACTGGATATTAAGAAAGCATATAGGTAATTGTAAAAGTTAACATTTGGTTTATTAGAATGCAATTTTTGCCAGTGTTGTGGCAAACAGTGCACACTTCATATTAGTATGTGCCAACTGCCAACACACTTCATATTAATATGTGCCGGATTTTCCTAGTTTCTGTCTGAATTATGTATCTAAGCTACAAATCTTTTTATGCCTCATTCAAATTAGACTCATAAAAAGATTTCCTTCATTTGTTAAAGCAGAAAGCACTTTTTACTATTTTCTGTTACCAGTGGGCATTTCTTTCCTTAGCAACTGTCTCTAGGAAATGCAAGTGATTCGCATAAAGGGCCAGGGAGGAGTCAACATCAATCCAGCTCACTTGACCTGCGTTGTCGCCTGCTTGCAATGGAAGCTCACTCGCACTATTGCCTAGATGGAAAGAATTGAATTAAATACGTGGGATAGAACAATCTACTTTACTCAATAAGCCAATAACATATCATCCCAAATATTATTACGTGTTTCATCAATACACTGTTTTTACCTGATTCGTCATGGAAATTGACTGCAACTGTCTCCATCCAAGCATTATCTGTGTTTCTTGGATCATCTACATAGCCTTTATACACCTATAGGAAAAAATATGCTGTGTTATATAGTGCTGCAATGCTTAAGATGCAGTCACATTTACCGTTGTTTGGTGAAATACAGTAATTGCAACAGGAATCTGCATGATCTGTTTTTCGTGAGGGTGAAAAAGTTTTCACTTTGTGTTAAATTTGGTCAAACAAATTCACTGTGTTGACCAACATAAAGCTGCTTGGTTCAAAATTTTATGACATATGCATTATAAAATATGCATATTTTATGCATACCAAAAAAAAATAAAAAATAAATAAATAAAAAATATATATATATATGTATTTATTAAAATAGATCATTTTCAAATTATAATAATATCTCACAATATTACTGTTTTTTTCTTTGTTTTTAATCAAATCAATGCAGCTTTGGTGAGCATAAGAGACTTCTTTCAAAAGCATTTAAATATCGTAATTATTCCAAACTTTTGAAGTGTAAGCGCATGGTCTTACCTGAAGACCTGCTGAGTCGAAAAGCTCAGTGATTCGCTTTTGGATCTTTTCCCTCTCACTTGGAGATGCTTGCAGAGAGTTCAATGCCTCTTCTGAGAACTCGCGCTGCAATGTTTGAGAAATGCGCTCTCCAGGGTCCACCATTCCCTGAACACACAACAACAAATATCATAACCATCTTTTTTGCATATTAGCAGAATGATTTTAAACATGCTCACCCCACAGGTGCTGCTCACTCAAAATAACCACTCTGAAAATGTAAAACAAGCACTGAGGTTCATACTCACCCCTGGGATGGCCCATTCGCCACAGTCCAACCTCTTGATGGACACAAATTGCAGCACAGGTAGTTGAGAGTTAGTGTGGTGGACACGCTGTCCTGTAGAGTCCCTTTTCCACCTGTATGAGACCACAGGAAACTGGAATGTGTGTTCAAGAGGGTTTTAAGCATGTGAACCCTGCCACATTACACACAAAATACCTTGCATGCATGGAATTGTTAAACCGGTCCAATGGGAAAGAGATTACATGTAAAAGGTTGGTTTCCATTTATTCCGACACACATTTTAGTACCTGGTAACTATTGGATCAGCGGCGTGGTTTGGACCCCACCTTCCCAGTAATCCTCGGCCCTCTAGCCCAGTTCTTCCATGTGGATTACTGAGAATGATTTACAGTGAGTAAAGACATTGATAAGCAGCAATGCAAGCACTGTAAATATTGCAATTATTGAAATATTTTGGATGATCTGGTGTTTTAATGTTTGACTCACAGTGGTTTGCCATTCTGGATACGATATGAGCCCTCGTGGCTTTCCCTGTCCACAGATCCATCCAAAGAATTGAACTGTGGGGAAAATGCACTAAAGAAAGCATAAATAGATTTTTATACATATATTTCCAAACATACATCAGGTAAATCATTATCACTGTAATTCTCTTGTGATACACCGTGTGAATTTTCTTTTAAATCAGAAAATTTGTAGTGTTTGTTTAGGATTGATTAATATATACTAAAATAAAAATAATTATTAAATAAA